CTGAGATCACAACCACATGATATCTTCCAGTGTCAGAGGGAGACCTGTGTGGCTGGGGTCAGAAGTAGAAGACTGAGGGGAATGAGGAGCAGGAGAGTGGGTGGGCCGGGTGATTCTCTGGTCCTGCCAGCCCTCCAAGGTGTGGGTTTCACCCTCCCTGTGACTGTGTAGACCCCTTTGTTGAGGGTTTAGCAGAGCGAATGGCATGCACCTCTGGGGCTAAGGTGGTATGTGCTCACTCCGCCCGGGTGGTGGGAGCTGCATCTCCCTCATGCAGACCCTGGCCTGGGGAAGGGACCCCAGTGCAGCCCGGCCCCCGTGACCCCAGCCACAGAGACTGAGGAGTAATAAAAGACAGTTGCTGAAGCCACTGAGTTCTGGCACGGTTTGTTAAGCTGCCAGCGAGAACCAGAAAAAGCCGGATTTACATTCTTAACATAAACGTTTTACTGAAATACACACACAGGACGGCAGCCATCGGGAGGCAGCACTGCCCCAGGACGGGCTCAGACACCCCCGGGGTGACCCCGCCACCCTTGGCGCCCCCTCCCGGCCTCGGGGTGCAGGGCAGCGAGCAGGCCCTCTTGCATCCCGCAAGGCCTCGTCCTCCTTGCTGGTCACCTGCGGGGCCCAGCTCGCCCGCCCTCCTGGCACACTGGGATGCACCGGTTGGGGGACACTCAGGACACGGGGTCGGGGCAGGTACACTGCTGCTCGGGGCGGGCTCTGCCCTCGCTGTCTGCACACGCCCTCCTCCTAGGTGCGCACACTCAGGAGGCTGCAGTACCTCCAATCTTGGGCTTCCAGAGTTGGGAGGAAGTAAATGTCCATGTTTTAAGTCCCCCAGTTCGGGGCCTAAAATCCAGATTCTGCACCGAATCTTCCACGTAGGAATACAAAGGTGCGTTTGCTAAAGACAGGTTGCAGTAAATTCATAGGTAATCAGTCAAATTCGCTAACTTGTGTTAGAAAGAGAGGATTTTGTTGGTGCATTTTCTGTCTGGATACAGATAAAGATCCAAGCCCACACAGGCCCCTCTTGTTTTAATTATTTCATCCTCTAAACAGCAAACACTGTGGCTGAAACAGAAAAGATTTTTTTTCTTGAAACAAACAGAAAGGGTTCAGTGCACTTAAGTGATCGCCTTTCCCACCACCGTGGAGACAGACCCGGGCTTGAGACGGGGATGTGGGGTGCGTCTGGGTTTTGGGGTTTTCTCTTCTGAGGAATGAGAGAGGAGCCTTCCGAGAAATGCACCCCAGGCTGCTGTGTCAGCCCCCGCCGCCTGGCTCTGGTGCGGGCTGGTCTTGGGAGGCTCTGCCTCCTGGGGCTCCTGGGGGCCAGCTACGGCAGCGACCTCCACCTTCCGGAGGGATTCCCCTCCTTGAGACCTGTCTCAGTCTGTTTTCTGCTGCTATAACAAAATAACCAAGGCTGGGTACTTTATGAAAAACAGAGGTTTGTTTAGCTCACAGTCGTGGAGTTCGGAACCACCTGGCCTCCCGTTGGACCCCCTGCTCCTTCACCCCTTGTCTCCATGCTTGTCACTGTGCTGTGTTACCATGTCACTGCTAAGAGCATCTTGATGGAGACAGGAAGCCAGGAAGGGGCGGGGCAGACTTGTGCTTTTACAACCATAATTTGCATAAACCCCGCCCAAGGACACGCCCCAATGACCTAACCACCTGCCACTAGGCTTCTCCTCTTAAAGGTCCCAAGACCCCCAATATCACCACACTGAGAATCAAGCTTCCAAGACGCCAGCCCAGGGCAGCAACCACATCCAATCGCTCACAGGAGGCCATCTGTCCTGAGACCTCCAGCCCTTCTGTGTCGACATCTTTGAAAACTCGCTGTGTCCCTCGAAGAGTTGGGAGCCTGCCCTCAGGCTTGCTGTGTCCCAGTCTCCTCCATCTCCCCACAGTACGAGGACCCAGATCGTTTTTATCCCCTCTGGGGTTTCTCCTCCAGGACCCAACAAGGTCCTCACAGTGAGCGCTGCTGGAAATTCCTGGCCCTGTAGGAAAAGGGAGATCTGCCTGGGCCACACCGAGCATGGGAGGGAGACACCAACTCCAGACCTCCTGCATCCGGTACGCCTAGGGATGGGGGACAAACAAGGACCCGAGGTGCATGTGGGGCACCTACGGTCCAGGGCATGGACTCAGGGAAGACTGCGACCATTTCCCGCACTCTGTGTGTCACCGAACTCACTGTCCAGGCCTCATGACCGGCAAGCAGGAAACCAATACCAGGCATACTAGGAGGTAAATGCAGAGTTTGAAGAGAAAGAGAAAATACCAGAGCCAGACTTCCAGGGCACCGTGGCATCCCGAGATGTGGCACGCATCTCTCTGGGGTGTAAACAGCCATGATGAACCTGTCCACCAGGCCCTCCTGGGTCTCCAGAGGCGTGGAACACTCACATGCGTGGACACTCCTCCCAGTGGGAGGGGTCGCCTCGGACACGCATGAGCGTCTGCCCCCCAGAACCCTCCTCCAAGAGCTGTGCAGACAGCAGCCCCTTCACCCCACAGGGGGCCGCGGGGGTGCACTTCCTTTAGCAGGGAGCTGTGCCCCTGGAGCTAGCTGTTGAGAACCCTCTTAACAATCGCTGATGGGTTTGCTTTTTAGGTTAAAAGACTCTGTTTTCTGAGTTGATCCAGAGGGGAGAATTAAAATCCAGTAAGAGTGGCAGGAAGTTGGATTTGGCCACAAGGTCAGGACGGAGTTGGTGAAGGAGGGCATTTCCCAGCAGTGGGCTCCCGGGACCAGAGTGCCCGTGCCATGGTGTGAGGTCAGCTGCCAGCCTTCCCATACCCTCCGCAGGAGGACGCTGGTCTCGCGGCCCTGGAGCCTGGCAAGTCAAGATGAAGCTGCTGGGCCCTTCTGGATCATAGATGGCATCCTCTCGCTGTCCTACGTGGCACAGACACATGGAGAGGCAGAAGCAGGAGACTAATTTGCTCCAGGGAATTGGCTCACATTATGGACAGGGGCGGGGGGCTGTACACTCAGGAGGAGCCGCTGCTGGTTTCTTTCTCTCCAGAAAGCTGGGAATTTGCTCTTCCTGCCTTATCTGATCAGACGAGGCCCACCCATCATGTGGACAATATCTGTTCTACTTAAAGCCGGCTGACTGGCCACATCTACCAAACACCTCTGCAGAAATGCCAGATGAGGCTTTGGTAAAGGAATGGGACAGCAGCCTGGACACACAGACCTGGCTGTGGCAGTGGATGTGAGCTTGTCAACAGAAAGCCAGAACTGTGACCCTGGTGGGCCTTTCTGTCCCCCTCCCCGGCTTGATGACAGACTTCTTACAGCTTCCTGGAGAGGAGGCCGCTGCCCGAGGCCCATCCTCTGCTGCCCAAGGCCACCAAAGAGAGCGAGGCCGAGTGTCTGTCACACACCAGCTGCCACCGGCCCTCGAGTGTTTGAACTCCTTCAGCCACACAGCAGATTTTTGCAGATGCAGACGTGGCCACCACCAAGGACATCAAAGGGCAGGTGACTCGAGTGAGGTCACGTGGTCGGCAGGCCCAGGAGCCAGAGTGTAACCAGGTGCTGCCCTGCTAATGTCCGTCCCTTGGGCCCGGGGCACACGACACCTCAGGACGTCACTGTCTGTGCCTGGGTGAGACGAGGAGCTGAGCGCCGGGAGCCTGCTCAGTCCACCCCGGTGGGCAGGGACGCGGCTCCTGTCCAGAGCAGGACTCCGCCTCAGCCTCCCGAGTGGCTCCAGAAGCTGTGACTATGGAAGGCCTTAAGGAAACATGAAAAGCATTTTTCAAATGCCAGTTTTTGTTTTGTTTTGTATTTTGAATCGATTTTTGACTCGGGAACAAGAAACATAAAATCCTAAACTTTCATCTCACTGGGACAAATAAAAACAATTTTCCCCCTTTCTTTTTGAGACAGGTTCTCGCTGTGTAGGCCAGGCTGGCCTCAGACTCACGCAGTCCTCCTGCTTCAGCCTCCCCAGTGCGGGATTCCGGCTGTGGCCGCCTGGCCTGGCCTTTGCCATGAGGTTTCCGGTCATCTTGCCGTGGCTTTGGATTCGAATCCAGCTGCCGCACAGAGAGACCTGAGACCTGGGGCGGGTGACCGGGTGCAGCACGGGGCCTGGGCAGCTGCAGCCCGTCCAGGCACAGCAGCGCTGGCCGGTCAGGAGCTCTGCAGGTGGGGAAGGCACCCCACCCAGAGCGCCCACAGTCATCAGAATACCGCTCCCCGTGGGCACACAAAGCCCCAGGCCCTGGCTTCAGGCTCTGCAGGTGTCCCGGCCCCTTCCAGCCTCCCAGTGCGGTGTTGGGGCTCCAGGCCCTGCACCCCGGCTTCTCAGGCCCAGACCGGGGCTGCTGGAGGGTGGAGCCCTCTGGAAATCCGAGTCTCCACGGAACGCACCTCGCCATGGAAACCGCGGGGAAATTGCTGCCTTCCTTCCCCGGGCAGCTCCGGGAGGCCTGGGGACAAGAGGGCATTGTGTGGCCAGGGATCCGTCCTGGCACAAAGGGCGCCTTTCACTGATCGGACCGGCCGACGGGAGAGTGGGAACCCAGGTCCGCTCCTTGCTTGGCTCTGGGCACCACGGCGGGGTCAGAGCTGCCGTCCCTGGAAGGCGTGGGCGGGACTCCGGCCCTCGGTCAGCTGAGCTGTCCTGCCCTCCTGGCACTGGCTCGCTGGGAAGTGGGCAGGATGGCACGGTGGCTCCCAGAGTCTGTCTCGGAAAGCCATTGGCTCCCGGGAGAGGACCGTGTGCCACAGCTGGGGCCATGGGATGTGGGGTCTCAGAAAGACCCCCAGGAGAGGGGGCCCCGTGCCCAGAGGAGCCGGAGCTCCGAGGCCGGGTGGGCGGCAAGGACTCACACGGAGGGGACCTGAGACCCAGCGGACGGCTCGGAGACGAAACCATCTGGGTCCTGCAAAACCTCTGTCCTCGGGCCTGGGGAGGCCCAGGTGGGCAGGGCTCGAGAGGCGAGTGTGCCGGTGAGTGTGTCAGGGAGAGTGTGAGTGAGACAGCGTGTGTGTGCTGGGAGGGTCTAAACATGCGATTGCTTTCAGCAGAGCACGGCCCACGGTGTAATTACGGCGAGGGGCTGCCGGCTCCCAGCGCTAAGTGATTTCATGTGCCTCGGTGATTGCGCCCCGCTGCAGGATAAAAGTGTGGCTTCTATTTTCCCGTATGAAATGGTTCCCAGACTGGGAGGGAGGCTGGCCGGGGTGGCCGCGGGGACGCGGGCTTCGGTGGGTGCTGGTGAGAAGGTGCGAGGGAGGCAGGGGGGACCAGGCTGCCGGACTCACGCTGCAGCTGGCCACTGTCCCCGCGGGGCCGAGCGCCTGGGCTTTGACCCCCATCCCCATTAACACCCGGGATGCGACCCCGCATGACCTCAGGCCCGCATCGCCGGTGACCACTGCCTCTGGCTGGGGGGACCGGGCAGCAACCCCCCTCCCCAGCACTCGGGGCTTCCTCAGGGCCAGCAGGGCCAGCTCCAGCAGGGACTTGAGCCAGGACCCGGCGGGGAGAGCTCGGGCTGGGATTCCGTCCCTTTGCAGAGTTAGGGGAAAGCTGGACATAAATTTCCGAACTTTTCCAAGTGTTTTTAAATGCCGTCTCCCCGCCTCCCCTCCTGTGCCCCACAGCCTGTGTGGGGTTCTTGTTTTCGTTTTGTGTGTAATTCCCTGAGGTGCTGGTCCGGGTACCTGGCCTCTCAGAGTGGCCGGTGCTGTCCGGCCGTGGCTGTGTGGCCTCCGAGAGCTGATCACACGGGCTGAGCCTCCTGTGCAGCTGGGGTGCGCCCTGCAGCACCCTCCTGTCCTCACCCCTTCCCCTCCTCCTCCCGCTTCACCCCTGGGGGGCACTGGGGACACACCGGGATGGCGCACAGGGCCATAGGACGCTGGCCTGGCCGCAGGGGCAGCCTGGCTCCCTGCTCTGGGTCCCTCTGCTGCCTCAGGGCACCAGAGATGTCCTTCCATGCAGAGCCTGCCCTGGGTCCTGCCTGTCGCAGACCCCCGGGCAGTGCTGTGGGCAGGCCCAGCCTCTCGCAGGGAGGCAGCACTGGGGGTCATTTCAGACCAGAGTGACCCACAGGCCACCCGGAGGAAGCAAGGAAGTGGGGTGGTGGGATTAGAGCCCCGAGACGCCGTCCCAGCCTAGCGGCCTGCACTGCCCGGCCGGCCGTGTGGCTTTGCAGAGGCCGCTTCCTGCGTCTGGGCCCCGCGGTGAGGGCGACAGAGCCCACTGCTGTGGCTGAGACAGCGCGGTCCCTGGGTGTGTGGGTTTGCTCTGCTGCTGGGCTGGGCCACCTTTCCGAAAGGCGCTCTCCGTGTGACCCCAGAGGGCTGTCCGTCTGCCGCCGAGCTCTGTCCATCCTCCGGGCTGCCTGCTTCCGTGCGCGATGCTCCTGTCAGGGCCTCATCGCCCCTTCTAACCATTTCCGAGGGCTCACCTCTGGCTCGCTCTTTTCCATTTCTTTGGTTTCTGCTGGCATCTTTGGCAGTTCAGTCCGTCTGTCCCCTTTCCGTGGACACTCCCTTTTCTCTAGGCTCCTAGTGTTGAGTTTGGACGGGTCCTTCCTGAGCCTCTTTGTCATTCACTCCACATTACAGCCGTGACCGCGATGGACCCCTTCAGCTGTGCGCTGTGCACCCTGATCTGCGACGCGTCTCTGCGGGCGTTTCGCTTGGGGCCAGTGGGTGAGGCCCAGTTTCGATGTGTGGTTCTGGTTGGCCTTGAACTCACTGTGGAGCCCAGATTGGCCTCCAACTCTTAGCAATCTTCCTGCCTCGGCCTCCCGAGGGCTGAGATTTCAGGCGCGGCTTGCAAGCATTTTAAAATAGTTTCATCTTCCTTCCGTTCCCTTCCGTGAGCTGTGAGTTGTTTGGAAGTGTTTCCCTCATTTCCAAGCGCTCTGGGAGTTTTCCAAGTGTCACGGTGCAGGTTCCCAACTGAATTCAGTTCTGCTCGGGGAACATCTCGGTCCAGTCCGCCGAGTGAGGGTCCTCTCCCCGGGCAGACGCTGGTCCTGATTAGGGTTTGGTGTGAGCTCACACAGAAAGAGTATCTGATGCTTGACTGAATATTCCACGAATCCACTTAGGTCAAGGTCAGAAACACTGTTTCAATTTTTTTGTGAGGGTTCTGGGGATCAACCCGGAATCTTCACGCTGGGTACATCTGTCTTTCTTTCTCCAAGACTAGGTCTTGGTAAATCACTGCTATGGCTGTGTCTGATGTCCCCAGAGCCTCACGTGGTCACCGGTGGGGCTTTTCAGAGGTGGCTGGAGCCAGAGTGTGATGCTGGGATGAAGGGTGCGTGGCCCCTAACTCAGCCCCTGGCGCCCACCTCAAGCCCGGTGGCCCGGAAGGGGCAGGAAGAAGCCGCCGTGGGCCTCGGACTTGGTTCTCAGCCGCTCCGAGGCTGCTGCCCTCCCCCGTGAACCGTCTCTGCCCTGCGATGCCCTCTGCCACCACCCTCCTCGGGGTCAGCCCGTGACAGGCTGAAATCGTGACTCTGAGCTGAGTAAGCCTCCCCCTTTGATTGTGACTGTCAGATATTTTGTCTCAGCAACAAGAAAAGTAACTGCCGCTGTCCCTAAGGTCTAACCGACAACCCTCCTGCCTCAGCCTCCCAGACGGCTGGGTTACAGGTGTGCGCTGCTTCCCATCTTCAGACAGCATTTAGTTCTGCCTCGGTGTTCCGTCAGCTGCTGAGCACAGGACTGCGAATGTGTATAACTAAGTATGTACTAACTTGCCCTCCCTACAAGAAGTCTCCAGTTACGACTGTGGGTTTCTCTGTTTTTCCTTTTTACCATAAAATTTTCTTGCATATTTAAAATTTTTTTCAGGTGTACATGCATTGTCTTACACACTTATACACACATACACACACGCACACGGGGGTTGAGGAACCCTTATCCAAAATTCGTGAGATCAGACTTCTGAGTTTGGGATATTTGCATGCGCACAATGAGCTGCAGTCTGCATATGCACATGCGGTGTATATTTGCACATACATGATCAGCTGCATATTTGCATATTTGCATATTTGCATATGCATAACCAGGTATCTTGGGGATGAGACCAGGCCTGAAGACAAACCCGTCTGCACATTGCGGGCACCTCCTGCACAAGGCTTGAAGGCAGCGATAGGAGTTCTAGGGGTAGAGTTTTGACGTCGTCCCATCCTGGGAGGCCAGTGTGGACTTTTCCTCCCGGCATCAGGTGGTCAGCAGAGAGCTCTGGGTTAGGGAGCACTTAGGGTCCCCCATTTGGGCGAGTCGGCTCCTCTCTCCTGTCCACATCGCATATCGCCTTGCACGATGGGTGTGACGCAGTGTCCAGCACGTTCTGTGTCCCTCGTGTCGTCCGGTGTGTGCCTCACACACTCCCGTCTCTGTCCCAGCTGCCCAGCCTCAGCGTCCCCTCCTCACTGGCCCCCTCTAGAAAACTGTGTCTGCTCCTACCTTTTATGTTTGTGGAATCAATGACAAACTAGTATTATTAAACGTGTATTATTATTCCCCCTGCACAGAATCTGCCTGTCACGCGTGCTCGTCTTGAACCGTGTCTTTAACAGTGTATGTCAGTGCGCTTTGCCCTTTATTACCTAAACAGCTTGCACATTCTTGTTGATGGCTGCATAGTACTCCAGCTCAGCTCGCTGTACACCTTGGTGGTGACCTACAGTGCTGCCCTTTCCCATCCCCCTTTCCCATCCCAGGCCCTGCCCTCTGGCCAGCCAGCACCCAGGAACAAGCCTGGCCCAGCTGCTCCTCTCCGCCACAGGTCGATCAGGGATGGCAGCAAGCTGCCATTCACATGCTCCTCCCCGCACACACAGAGGCCTTGGCCAGGCCTTGCCATCCAGCTGCACTGAATGCCAGGCACACAGCTGTGCCTGGCCCTGTCCACAGCCAGAGCCCAGACCTGTTTCTCATTCACCATGTGCTCCTGAGCAGCTCGCCCTCCCGGCACCAGGCTCGAGGCAGAAACAGGCAGAGAAGGGCTTGTTGCCTGCCGGCGCTGCCCCCGCTTAGCGTGTTACTCTCCCCGCTGCAGGTTGCTGAGGCGCAGAGAGTTTGAGTAACTTGCCGGGCATCACACAGCGCGGCAGGGCTGGGCCTGGGTCCCGGCAGCCGGGCTCGTGGTCTGGGGAAGGGTAAATGCAGCGGTGAGCGGTGAGCCCGAAGGGCTTGGACCAGACCTGGTCTGTGGTCTGCGGGAGCCGCGTCCTCGCTCCGGCCAAGGCTCGGAGTCCAGCGGCCGTGGCACGGGCCGGGGGTGGGGTGCTGGGGACACCATGCCGCTTAGGAAACCGGCCCCCAGCGATTTCTGAAAGCACCAGGGCGAGTGGGGAGAAGCGGCCACGCGTCAGGAGGGCAGTGCGGGGCTGTGTGGCCAGGCTGCTGTGGGGAGCCGAGCCCCGGAGCCCCGCTTTGCGCCCCGGCTCCAGGATCACGCCCGCCTGGACTCGAGCGAGATGACAGTGTGCAAACGATTTGCACCCCCTGGCTTGTCTTTGCAGCAGCAGCAGAGGCGAAGGGGTTAGCGAGCTTTTCTTGGCAGGGGAAAAGACACGAAACGCCCAACCACAGAATTCTCCAAAATATTGCTAAGCACTAATTTCGCTAACATCTTAGCGCGCGGATCCAGGCAATCCTGTTCCTCAGCTGGAAGTGGTTCCCAAAACCCACGTGACCCCCAGTCCACCCTGAGCTGTGTGGGCGGCGAGGATGCTGCTCTGCTGCCCCCGCCTGCCAGCCGCTGAGCAGGGCTTTCCCGGCCCCCAGGATGCCACCCCGGCGAGCCCAACCTGCCGTGAGGCTCGCAGCCCGCAGGCCCACGCACGGATGCAGCCTCCACCGGCTCCCGCACGGCGCAGGCCGCCTGGGGACCGAGACGGGGTCCAGGGCTCCTTCAAGGGCAGAATTTTGACCAAAACAGGCTTCGCGAGGAGGCGAGTGAGCGGAGAGCGGCCTGTGAAGGAGGTAATGAGTCACAAATGCTATTCCGATGGTTTTCTTTGAAAGAAATACACAGAACCAAACCGATTTTAATTAAAGATCTTGTCTTTGTAATCAGGCAGCCACAAATGAAGGCAGGCTGCTTTCATGTGGCGTAATGTACACAGATCTGGACGACTTTGCCCATAAAAGGGCAGGGGTTTTTTCCTCCCTAAATAAGAAAATAGTTTGTTCTTCACAATTCGGGGGACGGGAGGAAAAGCCGTCTTTTGCAGAGGATAAAGTTGCGAATCCTCCCGGTGGATAACCACGTCGGCCGTTTGCCAAACTCCATGCCGGCTGGGATTACCCTGCTCTTTGAGATTAGACATGTGATCCTGATTTTTCAGCGAAAAACACAGCTGAAAACCGAGTAAACACACCTACGGGTACATCTGCAGCCGGTGGCAGGCGGGGCTGCAGCGCACCGCAGTGGGGCGTCTGTGGGAAGCTGACCCTGGATGGAAAGCGATGTTTGCATTTGGAGTCTTCAGACTGCAGCGAAAATGCCATCGCTCCCCCGGCGCGTCCTCTGGACCCGGGAGAGATAATCATTTTCAGTTAAATGTGCATGTAATTTAATAATCCCAGGGAAGGCAAAACCCTCCAAGGTGGCCCCGGGACGGCTGTGAGTTCTCGCTTGGTGGCAGGCCTGGGTGGCAGCTGCCTGGGGTCCTACAGGGAGATCTTGCTCCGTCCCAGGGAGCCTGGGGTTGGTGCTGGGGAGATCCAGCTGACCTGGGCAGGTGCTGGGCAGCAGCAGGGCCAGGCCCCTGGTGGCTCCTAGCTTTGTTTTTGAGATCAGGTCTCACTTTGGAGCATAGGCTGGCCTCCATCTTGAAGCAGTCCTCCTGCCTCAGCCTCCCAAAAGCTGAGTGCATGAGCTGCCACACCCAGGGCCCCCGGGGTTTCCTAGGGCATCTCCAGGGCCTGACTGGCCATCTGTGGGGCCGCACAAGAAGTGAAAAGCAAAACTTGGTAAAGACCAAAGCACAAGACAGGGACACAGAGGACACCCCTGCAGGACCCCATGCTGGGGTTCCATCTGCACCAGACAGCTAGTGGTGCTGGCGGGTGACACAGTCCCTGGACACTGAACAGTGTCACACAGGCCGTGGGGACGGCACCTCCTTGTAAGACTCATCCCAGTGGCCGTGTCTGATCGCACTTTAGCTGAGCCGAGGTGGCCTCAGCCAGCAGTGTCATCTGTTAACCCCAGCCCCCGTGGGTGGACCTCAGTGACCCCGGCCGCCAGGGCACTGCTCCCTCCCTCTGCTCTGAATGGACTCTTGGGTGTGGAAGTGGAACCACCCATGTCCACCACTGATGAGCATCCGTCACCACACGGCGGAATATTACTCAGCCAGCAAAAGGCACAGAGCACTGAAAACACCGCCTCCCGCTAGGCCTGCTCATGTGAGGCAGCCTAGAGACGGGCACAGATGATGTGTGCCCATGTCCACTGAGCAGGTCCCCGAGCTATTTCCCTTCCAGCTGACTTCCCCAAATAGCGAAGACACCTGCCACAGCGACACCTGCACACCCATGTTCACAGCAGCACAGTCGGCCATAGCTGTCTTGGAAGCGACCTGTATGGCCATCAACAGATGAGTGGGGGAAGAAAGTATATTCACACAGAGGAGTACTAATTTGCCCTAAAGAAGGATAAAGCAGAGTCATTCGGAGGAAAGCAGATGCACCCAGAGACTGTAATGTTAAGGGAAATGAATCAGATGTGAGCGTAAATATCGCGTGGTTTCTCTTACGTGCGAAACCCAAAGTCTAAACACAGAGTAGAGTGAGTGGGAGATGACAGGAAGTCGGGGGACAGAGCTTCTGTGGATGGAGAGAGGACCAGGAGGTGGAGGGCGGGAAGGGGCGGGGGTGGAGAGAATCCCACCGGGGAGCCGCTGGCATTGTGCAGATCAGCGTTTGGGAGAAAGGGAAGCCGACCCGGAGGCGGGCACAGGGCAGGCCGGGTGGGGCAGGGCGAGGGCCTGGGCAGGAGCTGCAGGAGCGGGGAGAGGTGGGGTCCAGGTCCCCACTTCAGGAGCAGAATGCTAGACTGCAGGTTTAAGCACGGCTGCGGTGGGGGGTTTTACCACAAAAACACTTTGCCCTGCTGAGAGCTGTGCTTCTGTTTTCTAGACGCAGGGGGACTGCCGTGGTTACGGCCACTCTGCCCAGAGCCGGCCGGTCCCTGGGCAGCGACCTGGCATCGCGCAGAAGCCGAGCTGCTTGCCTGCACTGTGACTGCTCTTCCCGGAGTGCGGGTCCTTCACTAACCTGCGTTGCTGAGGAGGAATTTGAGGGTAGGGACAGTGGCCAGGACAGCACAGACCCCTTTCCTGGGGCCTCTGGCAAGTCCACACACTGCCCACACACTGTCAAGCCAAGCGGACCAGACCAGAGAAGGCGAATGTATCAGGACACAGTCCACCCCGACCAGCCGCACGGAGCCAGAGATGCGAGATCCCGGAGGATGCAAGTCTGTTACTACAAACCCTGCGGTTCCTAAACCTGCGCTGTTTCCACAGAGCCCAAGCCCAGCTGCACTGGCTGCCAGTGGGAACAGTGCCGCCTGCCCCCCAGGGAGGCTTGGGGTCAGTTTCCTGCCCTTCCAGGACCTGCTCCGAGCGCGACACCCCTCTGATGTGGGCTTGGCTTTCAGTGCCACGATGCCCAGGCAGACTGGCACCTTTCACTGATGGACCTGCCTGTGATTCGGGAGCTGGGTTCTCTTCGGTGCTAAGTAATATTCCAAGGCCCACCGGGCTAGTTTATTTTCCGTCCACTCCCCTACCGAGGGGCAGCTGCTGGTCTCCATCTTGGCCATCCTGAGTGACACTGCGGTTAGCTTCTCTGGAGTCTAAATCTAAGCTTCCATCCCACCTGGGTAAATACCAAGGCGAGTGATCTCTAGATCACAGGAAGAGTGTTCGGCTTTGTAAGAACTGCAGTGGCATGTTCTGGAGTTTAGCTATTCAGTAGGGGAGCCACGGTTGAATTTTTCCATTTTTGTGTCTTTTTGAGGCAGGATTTTGCTCTGCAGTTCAGGCTGGCCTTGAACTTATGACAATCCTCCTGCCACGGCCTCCCAGTGCTGGGATCACACATGTGCACCACCGTAGCTGGATATAAACTCTCTGGGGGGATCCACCCAGGTGAAAAGGTGCACAGACACAAGGGACAGCATGATCACGGTCACCCGATGGACGCAGCCCTGCAGTGGCCCCAGGCCATTGCCTTAGCAGATCCTGGATACCCTCATGGCCCGGATGTGTCAGCTTCGCCTTGGTGTGGTCATCTGGTGGGGAGGATTTGTGACCAGATCATTTAGAAACCTGAGCTCTGTGTGGGTCTCCACTCGGATGCACTCGGGATTCCAAAGCAGCCATGACTGACGTTGAAGTCATGGGTTTGGGGACAGTGAGCCCTCCAGGGAGCAGAGCCATGTTTTGAAGGAAAGGTGATCTAATAACTCCGTACCCAGAGCCAGGCACTCCCTAGGGCCTGGCTGGGACTCTCCGGTCACCGCCCACCAGCCGCCCAGTGGGCAGTGGGGTGGCTCCCTGGGGCTCCCTCCTGCCTGCATTCAGGAGAGGAGGGGACCATCTGCACCTGCGGAGGGAGGGGGGACCACTGGCCGAGGGGTGTGTCCCCCTGGGGTCAGGGTCAGGGCGCCTTGCTGCGTCCAGGTGGCTGTTGCTGGAGTCCGGTTTGCACTAGAGTTCGAAACCAGAAGGTGACGGTCCCTCTGGGCAGCCGGACATCCCTGCGCCCTCCTCAGATCCGCAGCCCTTCTGCCTGCAGGGGGGTCCTTGACTGAGCCCCACCCAGCTCATCTCTCCATGGCTCCCCTTGGCCAGCGCACCCTGCAGGCCACCGCCAGGACACAGTCTCCTGATGTCTCACGGCCGGAGCCCAGTGCAGGGCCCCCTGACACTGTGGGCTCCACCCCTGTCCGGAAGGTTCCGGAACAGCAGAGGCCCTCAGTCCCTGGCACTGAGCGGAGGTGGCTTTTCCTCTTCTCTTTGACACCAGGGTCTGGGAAAGCAGATCACGCCTGGCACCGGTGTCCTCGGGTTTGGGTTCCAGCTCTGGCTCCGCCCTGGGGCCTCAGCGTCCCCCTACTTTCCGGCCTGGAGGGGAGACGCCCATGGAAGGACGGGCATGGCCAGCGGGGTTTGTTTGCTGTCGATTTCTTTTGTAAGGGATGGGCTCACACATTCTGCTTAACCTCCATGCTGGGGGTAACGGCCTGGCCTCGGCTAGCTGCAGGGAGGCTGGGAAATGGGGCCACGCCCCCAACAGCAGGGCCAATGACTTCGCCAGCCTGTGTGTCCGGGACTCCACGCAGAGTCAGGATGGGCAGTGACACCACACAGAGGGGAAAGGCTGGGCGGGACGGTGCTGGGACCTGCGTCCACTGAGTGTGTGCTAAGGGCCCAGCTTGTGGGACAGGGAAGCCCATGGCGGGGGCTTGGTCAGCAGTGCAGGGCTCCTGGCCTGACCCTGGCCTCTGGCTCCTCAGTCACAGGTGAGGCCGCCCACTGTGGCCCAGGCTGGGCCACACACACCTCTGCTTCAGGGTCAGATTTTACAGCCCTGTGAGTGGCAGACGGGGTGTGGAGCGACCTACAGCAGCTGAAATGGAGAAGAAAAGGCAGACAGGGACAGGTGGGGGGCAGTCACCCCAAACCCACCAGTCCTGGAGGAAGCCCTGCGTGGGGCCACCCACGCACCGCCCCGTATGGTGTGGCAGCCCGGGCCCCTGCTGTCCACTGGGCCTCCTCACACAAAGGCCTCCCAGTCCCTGCTCTCCTGGCAAGAGTGGTGAGGGGCCTGTGCCCCACCCTCATCCTCTGTCCCTGGGCCTCGATGTACCTGTGTCCACCTCCTCAGACAGAGGATGGCCCTGGGCTCTAGGGAGGCCGTGAGCTGCTCCCGGTCCTGAGAGCTGGGATGGGGACGGGCCCCAGCTCCTCCTGGCTTGCAGGTCCCTGACCTCCCACTTCAGCCCCCGCAGAGTTGAGTCAGTCATCACCTTGCCCAGTTCCTGGGACCAGGGATGTGGGTTCCCGCATCAGGAGGACAGCTCTCCCCCAGGGACCCCACCACGTCATTCACAGAGGGACCCTTCTGCCTCCTCGCCAGGGCGGGGACACCGAGGTTCCAGCAGCCTGGCGAGTGATGTCTTGAGGGGCCTTCCAGCCCGCTGCCCTCGGCCCCCCAAGCGGGCTGTTCTGTCCCCAGTGCCCCAGATCCCTGGGCACTGTTTTGCCTGGAGTCTGCACCCGTGGGGTCTTTCCTGGGTGGCTCCAGCAGCAAAGTTGCCGACCAGGCACCGCCAAGCACAGATGTTTCTGGGACTCAGAGAACCAAGGGACCCCACCCCCAGCCCCGGGAGGCCACTGGACCAGGCAGATCAACGGCCAGGTCCCGGCTGGGGTGGCAGTGCATGGCGGTTGGAGGAGACACAGCTGCTGTGGGGCCCCAAGCCACCCACCTTCCTGACAGAGCACCCCCATGTGATAATTAAAATGTGGGGACCCCCACCTCCGACTCAGCCTCCCTGCTGGTGAGAGTGGGTGTCCCTGGCCCGAACCTTGGCTAATTGTCCCCCAGCTCCCTGACCCGGTATCTGCTCTGCTTGGACGTGAAGGGCACCTTCTCCTCCGTCTGCTTCAGAGTCCCATGGTGGGAATCAGAGAACTCGCCTGCGCAGTATCATCTGACCCCGCAGGCCGGGCCTCGGAGGACGGGCCGGCCCCTGCCCTGCCCAAACAGACGAGATCCAAGCTCCCTCCAGGAAATTGAGTGGAACACCGAACCGCCATCCAGGAGTAAACCTTACATTCGTCCAGTCGTTCTGCAGTGTTCCCTGGTTTCCAACATCTGGGAGCGAAATTTATAAATGCAGAAACTGAATACCTGGGCGGCGTGGGGCTCATCAGCGCTGAGGGCTTAGCATGTTCCTGTGTGTGCTCCAAGTCGGCCACTTAGAAAGGTGGCTATTAAAACATGATCAGGCGCACGGTGTTTTGTCTCCGAAATGTCAGACACCATTAAAGTTAAAAAGACTTTGATGCTCAAGCCCCTGGCCCAGGCTCTGCCCCGTCAGCAGCCGAGGTCCCGAGAAAGTTCTCTGTAGAGGAGGCCGAGCTGCAGGACCCAGCACAGTGCCGGACACACCCAGCATTCACCAACAATCAAGCCGCAGAACTACTGCCTGTGCTGCTGGCCAGCCTGGTGTTTTGTTTTTTGTTTTGTTGGTACCGGGGACCAAACTCATGACCTTGTGTTTGCCACCAGGCAGGCACTTATGCACTGAGCTAAATCCCCAGCCCTCAACCTGTTTTTATAAATAAAGTTTTATTGAACCCAGGACCAGCCAGACAGGGCTTACTAGGTCCACTTCTTATCTTGTCCTTATTTAAAGTTTTTTTTTTTTTTCCGTTTTTATCGGTACCAGGGATCAAACTCACGACTGCCTGCTTGCAAGGCAGGCGCTTATGCCGCTGAGCTAAATCCCCAGCCCTCTTATTTAAAGTTTTGATATTATCATTTAAAAAAAAATTTTTTTACTTTTAAATAAAAGACTGCATTAGGATGCTACCTTGATTACTGAGATTTTTGGTATCCATTTAAGTTTTGTGTTCAAAGCAGGTGTCCCCCGCAGGTCCCCCCAACCCCAGGAGGTACTGCCCTCACCCCTGGTCGGGGTCTCTTGTCTCAGTTGTGCTAGCCGTTACCCCAAGATACCCCATGCATGGCGGGGCCTCTGGTACCCAGAACTGACCCCGTGGCCGCCCCCCCCAGCTCTGCTCCTAGGAAGGTGGGCTTCCTGCGTGGGGGTGGGTGGCACCTCTGGGCCAGGGCCTCCCTTCCTGCTGAGACCCTGGGTCCTGCACCCGGGCAGGCATGGAGGGTGTGGGGAGTCTCTGCCATGCAGCAGAATATCCCAGCCCCCAGGCCACCTGCCCCATGGGATCCACCCCCAAACTGGCCCTGGGGTGCAGGCCACAGGCTGCCAGGATGTTTTAGAGTGACAGCCTTTCAGGAAGTGCTCTGCGCAGTGCCACACAGCTGGCTGCCCAGACTGCCCCCTCGGCCGCTGGTGTGAGGGACAGTAATCATCTCCGCCCACAGCCCCAGCCCCGATGGTGTGCCATGGCCACAGCCACTCCTGGGGACTCAGGAAGCCCACGGTGGACCCAGGAGGACCTTGCAGGGTGGAAGAGGGTGTCTGCCACCTGCAGTGTGACCAAGGCTGGCCCTTGGGGGCTCAGTCTCCTCCTCCATGCCCGCATAGGACACGGGACCAGGCCCGTCTACGGCAGCCTGGATTTGAGCTTCTCCTGAGTTAAACAGGGGAAGGCGGTGCGGCTCCAGAGCTATGGTAGGCGAGGAGGGGAACGGGGTGGACCCATTGTGATTGCTCCCGTCACGGGTCTGCAGGGGCTGCATCTGGCACGGGGGAGCCCTGACAGGGAGGAGCTGCTCTTGTACTGCTGAGATTTTTCTTTCCTTTTTGTTTTTGTGGTCCCGGGGATTGAACCCTGGGCCACTCACTGAGCTCCATCCCCATCCCCTTGCTAGCTACTATTTTTAGACAGGGTCTTGCTAAATAGCTAAGTTGCCCAGGCGAGGCTGGTTTTGAGATCCTCCTGCCTCAGTCTCCCAGAGTGCTAGAATGAAGCTACCTTTAAAGGAAACAGGTCCGTGGTTCTGATGCCCACAAATTGGAACCAGCTACTCTCTCACCCCACTCCTCTTACCAGCCTGAGGAGGGCCTGTTCTTAGAGTCCAATTCCAGGCCCAGCTGGACATTTGCCTCTGCAGCCCCTGGAGGCCCTGGCAGGACTGGAGGTCTGAGTCGCTCCCTGAGCCATCCTGGCCCTGTGCAGAGAGCCCAGCCACTCTCTGTCCAGAGGCCCCAGGATAGCTCTAGGGTTTGGGAGGACAGATGACCACCACTGGCCACAGCATTTGAGCAGACAGCCATTCAAAAGCAGGGTGGTGCGGGGGTCCCGGAGATCAATGGACCCGGACCCGGTGGGTCGTTGGGTGGGGCCGGCTCCTCATTCCACCACTGAGGCTGGATGGGGCCCAGCCCACAGAAATCAGCGCACTGCCCACTGAGGACGTGGGCCATGTGGCCTCATTAGCTGCCTGAGGGACCCGCAAACAGGATGCAGAGACTCAGCCCTGCCTCACCCCACTGTGCCCTCTGCCGTCCCGACTGCCTGGGCCTCACAGGCCTGAGGCCGTGCAGCTTTAGGCTGCTTGGGGGCCGTCTGCCATTGTCCCCAGGGTCTCTGTCCTCTGGAAAGTGCATGGCGACAGTTCCACAGGCAGCTCTGGGCCTGGCAGACCCTGGCAGGCATTGGCTGTGCTCAGCTACGGCCCGGAGAGGAAGGGGAAGCAGTGTCATCACAGACTGTGAAAACCTAGGCACACACGTGTGTAAGGCTGCCCACACCCATACCTAGCACCAAGGCAGGCCTTGGGCAGAGACTTAAGCAAAAGAAATCGAAGCTCCCCACAGGCCTTGTTAGATGGGAGTGACCTCCACGGCTGGGCAGGGTTGGTTGGGAACCGCACGAGTTCAGCCCCACGGAGCCCATGCACAGCAGCGGCCCATGCGTAGCAGCTCTGTCAGACTCTGCCTGCTCCACTTCTGGCGCCCTGTGGGTCTGACTGCCCCTCGGAGGCTCTCACATCCGGGGTCCCACATGAGCACCCAAGCGTGCAAGCAGGGTGTGAGCTCAGTGGTTTCCAGGTGGATAAAAGGGAGAGGGGCTGTGTAGGCCACGGGCTGTCCTGAGCATCTCAGCCTTGGAAGGGAAGACTCAGGCTCCACCCACCTGCTGTCTCCCAGCCATCCATCTACTGACCTGTCACCCTATCCGCTGGTTGGCTCGTCCACCCATCCATCCATCCATCTATCTATCCACCCATCCACCCATCCACCCACCCATCACCCACCCATCCATCCATCCACCCACCCACCCATCCATCCATCTACCCACCCACCCATCTATCCACCCATCCATCCATCCATCAGTGCATCAATCCACCCATGCATCCACCCATCCAACCATCCATCACCCATCCATCCATCCATCCATCCATCCACCCACCCACCCATCCATCCACCCATCAACCCATCCATCAATCTACCTATCCACCCATCCATCACCCACCCATCCATCCACCCACCCATCTATCCACCCATCCACCCATCCATCAGTGCATCAGTCCACCCATGCATCCACTCATCCACCCATCCATCACCCACCCACCCATCCACCCATCCATCACCCACCCACCCATGCACCCATCCACCCATCCTTCACCAACCCACCCATCCTTTACCCACCCACCCATCTACCCATCCATCCACCCATCCATCCACCCATCCATCAGTGCATCAATCCACCCATCCACCCATGCATCACCCACTGACCCATCCATCCACCCATCCACCCACCCACCCCTCCATCCACCCATCCACCCATCTATCAATCCATCCATCCACCCATCCATCCATCTGTCAGTGAATCAATCCACCCATCCACCCACGCATCACCCACTGATCCATCCATCCACCCATCCACCCACCTATCCACCCATCCACCCATCCATCCACCCATCCATCCATCCAGCAGTGCATCAATCCACCCATGCATCACCCACTGACCCATTCATCACCCACCCACCCATCCACCCATCCATCACTCACCCACCCATCCACTCATCCATCACCCACCCACCCAGCCATCCATCACCAACCCACCCATCCATCCACCCACCCACTCATCCATCACCCATTCATCCATTTATCCTCTCATCCTTCCACCTGTCCCTTCATCTATCCACTCACCAATTTACCATCCATCTACTCAATCTTCACCTTCTGCCCCCCATCAACTCACTGACTTGTCCTCTGTGCTTTCAATCCACCCATCTACCCACTAATTCATGCCCCCATTCATTTGTTCTCCCCCATCCATCTACTCACGTACCCATCTGTTTATCCATCCAGCCACTCATCCATCAAGCTATCCATTCATCCACCCATTTGTCCATTCATCCACCCACTCACCCATCTGTGCAAAAAGCATTTACTCAGTCATCACTGGCGGTCACCATGTGCTCCTTGTTTAACCCCCATGATGACTCCCCAGATGGGTCCTACTGTTTCCACTTTGGACGTGCAAGGAAGCTCAGTGACCTATTTAAGGCCATGCAACTCCCCTAAGCAGGGGTGGTAGCTGACCCCGTCTTGTGGACCTCCCCACACCGGAGCCCAGAGTTGTCCCCTCCTGGCCACCTGGCCCTTCCAAAAGGTTAAGAAGAAAGGTGGGGGATGCCACCATGATGTCCCGCACGAATTTATGTGTGACATGAGTGCCCCCAGGAGTTTCACAGACTTTCCTACCCAGTCTGCAAATTTCTCTCCTGGGGGCCAAGATTTGGGCCTGGACAGCCTCAGGGGCCCCGCATGCAGAATCCAGGGAGGTAAGCACTGAGACTGGATATGGGGACTTTCTTGGAACAAATGTGTCCAATCCATCAGGGCTTGCACAGTCGTGTCTGGAACAAAACCACATTTCCTGTGTTTACTGAAGCTTTATGTAGGATGAGCACAGACCCAGGTCACTGCAGACCCGAGATGCATTCCAAGAAACCAGCTGCTCACAAAGTAAGCCAGCAATAGGTCTGGGAGTCACCCAGGGAAGGTGCCGGGGTCAGGGACAGGTAGAGGGGATGCTGGGGGCCCAGGTGTCTGGCCATCCAAGATGATGCCAAGTAGGTGAAGAGCAACATGACCACTCCTTTAGAGGGGTGAGGTGGAAGGCTCATCCTCAACTATGGACATACTGAGCCCGGGCTCGAGCTCAGCCCCTTTAGGGGAGAGTGGGCTAATCTCCATCGCCATCACCTTCATCAGCATCACTGTCACCATCACCACCACGTCATTACATCACCACCATCTTCATCATCATAACCACTGTCACCATCCTCAGCATCATGATCCACCATCAACCTGTTCATCATCTCCAGCATCATCACCACCTTAGCCACCACCACCACCATCATCACCATCATCACCACCTTCATCACCATCATCACCACCAACACCACCATCATCACCATCACCACCATCACCACCATCATCACCATGTTCACCACCATCATCACCATCACCACCATCACCATCACCACCACCATCACCACCACCACCACCATCACCATCACCACCATCACCATCACCACCATCATCACCACTTCCATCATCATCATCACCACCAACACCACCATCACCACCATCACCACCATCACCACCATCACCACCATCACCATCACCACCATCACCACCATCATCACCACCACCATCACCACCACCATCACCATCACCATCACCACCACCATCACCATCACCACCATCATCACCATCACCACCACCATCATCACCATCACCACCATCACCACCACCACCATCACCATCACCACCACCATCATCATTACCACCATCACCACCACCATCACCATCACCATCACCACCACCATCACCATCACCATCACCACCACCATCACCATCACCACCATCATCACCACCTCCATTACCATCATCACCACCAACACCACCATCACCACCATCACCACCATCACCATCACCACCACCACCACCGCCATCACCACCATCACCACCACCACCATCACCACCATCACCACCACCACCACCATCACCATCACCACCACCACCACCACCATCACCACCACCATCATCATTACCACCATCACCACCACCATCACCATCACCACCATCACCATCACCACCACCACCACCACCATCACCACCACCACCACCACCACCACCATCACCACCACCATCACCACCACCACCACCATCACCATCACCACCACCACCACCGCCATCACCACCATCACCACCACCACCATCACCACCATCACCACCACCACCACCATCACCATCACCACCACCACCACCACCATCACCACCACCATCATCATTACCACCATCACCACCACCATCACCATCACCACCATCACCATCACCACCACCACCACCACCATCACCACCACCACCATCACCATCACCACCACCATCACCACCACCATCACCACCATCACCACCACCACCACCACCATCACCACCACCACCACCACCACCATCACCACCACCATCACCACCATCACCACCATCACCACCACCACCATCACCACCATCACCACCACCACCACCATCACCATCACCACCACCACCACCGCCATCACCACCATCACCACCATCACCACCACCACCATCACCACCATCACCACCATCACCACCGCCATCACCACCATCACCACCATCACCACCACCACCACCATCACCATCATCATCACCACCTCCATCACCACCATCACCACCATCACCACCTTCTTCACCATCACCACCACCACTGTCTTCATGAAGTAACAGCAGCTGCTACTATTGTTGGTCTGATTTTTTTTTTATTTGTTTGTTTTGAGACAGAGTCTTGCTATGCAGATCAGGCTGACCTTGAACTCACTTTGTAGCCCAGGCCAGTCTCAAACTTGCAATGATTCTCCTGCCTCAGATTCATGAGTGCTGGGTTACAGGCATGCATCACCGCACCTGATTGGAATGACTTTTGAGGGCCAAATATGGGGCATGTTTCTTCTCTCTGTGAAGCAGGAATCCCACCATCCTCAGTGGGGTGTGGAAACTGAGGCTTATAGAGATGAGTAACTTTTCTCCAGTCACACAAACAGGAACAGCACCACTGGGTCAGACACTAGGACTTGCAAATCCATCCCAAGGTGCGGAGACTATGGCACGGGAGGGTGTGGCCCATTCAGCTTGGTTGGAATCCGTGGCCAAGGACGGGGCTGTCCATCCACATTGATGTCCACTGCCCACCGCCCTCCTCCCCTCCAGAGGAAGACAGAGGTGCGCAGCAAGGACCTGCCTGTGCCACTCTGAGAGGCACCAGTAGCTGCCCCAACCCAGCCTGGTGCCAAAGAGCCTGGGTCCTTGGCCCTCTGTGGGGACTCCAAAGAGCACGGGATGGAGGGCACCCGTGCAGCGTGTGGGACGGGGCTGGGACGGGGGACAGAGGGACACAGCTCCACCCACGAAATGCCCAGGAAATGTCTTCCCTGGGCCCCATTCACACACAGCTTTCCCAAGCCCGTCTCCAGGGTAACAGGGGAGGACTCTCCCAAGTCCTCCCAGATGTGTCCCACTCTGCCCTGGGCGGTCAGGGCACCTTTACGCCACACACAAAGAAACTTCATGAATGTCATGCCGTAGAAATGTGCACTGATGGCCGCTCACCCATTCCAAGGATCCACAGGTCAGCAGGAAAAGCGGGGTGCCCTCCCATCTAGCCCTCTCTATTTGTTGCTGGCATTGCCCAGAGCCTCTCCTGGGACGGACGCTCTGGCCTCTGTGCCCCTGAGTTTGGGGTGAGCAGACCCCAGCCCAAGGCAGTGGATCTCAGTCCTGAAGGCGCCTCACTCCAGCAGCTCTGCGGTGTCAGGAGGCCTGGGATGCTGCCCAAGGAGCGCAATTTCTAAGCTCCTGGGTAATGCTGCTGCCACAGGTGTGGGCAGACCTTGGGGTTTCTGGTCTTTCCTAATGGTGTTTGGGGCCCGGCGGCGGCACACACAGGGGGCTGTGCATCCACCTGCAGCCCTTGGTCAGGGAGCAAATCATCCCACCACCGTGTGTTTCCTCGTGGGCACCTGCAGGAGTGCCCAGCTCTCACCTGGCCTGGGCTCCCTGCCAACACCTGCCCCGGCCCCGTGCTCTGCCATCTTGGAAAGGGCTCGTTCAGCCTGCAGCGAAGTCCTCCTGCTGGCCCCGGGGGAGCACAGCCACCCTCTCTGTGCAGCTCTGCCCTCAGCCTCCCCTCTGTAAACTGGGCTGAATGGCAGCCTCTGGGGCCAGCATGGAGCGCCCTGTGTGCCCCAGGCACCCTCTAGGCAGGGTGTGGGCCCCATCTGCACGATCACAGTTGCCTGTGGAGCACATGGCTCTCCTCCCTGCCGGCTCCTTCCTGAGTTCCTGGCTCTGTCTCTGTCATCATGAACGATGGCCTTTCCATAAGCAAGTCTCTACCCATGCAGCTTCTCAAGGAATTTCCTCTGCTCCCCGCCTCTGCTCCTCTTCAAGACCCCGAGGACGCGGTGCCAACACGGGGCAAATCAGGACTGCAGAGTGGGCCCTGGGCCCCCAGCCCAGACGGCCGGGGCAGAGGGGGAGAGGGAGGCTGTGTCCCCACAGAGGCGGGCAGCAGGGCAGCCCATGAATAATCCGCTGACCTTTCCTTTCGTGTTTGGACGAACATAAGCCTGTTTACAATAAACCTCAGGGAGATTTTTCATCCTCCAAATGGAACAGGGTTATGTAAGCAGCGAGACCTCGGCTCAGCGAACACCTGCTGCAGGGGCCAAGGGAGGGGGACAGGAGGAGGGAGCCCTAGTGACTCACAATCGAGTTTATGATGGCAGGGCTGTCATTCATCCAGACGGCCTCTGGGGAGGACGGCGGGCACTTCCTGGGGCTCAGCAGTCCAGGCCACTCGGGGGCACCGGCTCCTCTGTACCCCTCCCCTGTCAGGACCAGCACCCAGCCGGGGGACCCCCGGGGGCTGTGTCCCCACTGCCACCCTGGTCCCCCCTCTCTCTGCATGCCTGCCTTGGCCCTGGCTGGGAGGGTCATGTGGACCCTACACTGCAACCAAAGGCCCCTTGTGTCACTGACCACAGTGAGAGGCCTTCGGGGGAGCCCCCTTCCCGAGAATTCAGCCTCAGTGGGTTCCTGTGCGTCTCCCTGCTCTGCGCCCCAGGAAAGCGTGGCCTGTCTTGGGGTTTGGCCGGAGGGGCTTACAAGATAAGCCTGTGGGAATCATAAAGCGAACAATTCTCGTGCATTAGTTCTTCTGGGCTGCTCTAATGAAACACGGCAGACCGGGTGGCTTATAAACAATAGTAATTTCTCCTCGGAGTTCTGGAGGGAGTCCAGGCTAAGGGGCTCCGTGCCGCTGCTTCCAAGATGGTGCTGGGTGCTGTGTGCTGGGGGGCGGAGGGAGGGGACACTGTGCTGCCCCTAATGGGAGGGAAGGCAGGTGGACAGGGTGCTAATCCTACCCGCAGGCCAGGGCTCTCTGCTCCAAGCTCAGTCGCCTCCTGAGGGCCCACCCCTATCTACCATCACAGCGTGAGTTCTGGGGGACACAGTTGGGTCTCAGTGGCCTGTGACTACAACATGAACCCCCAGGGTAGACCTCAAGGGGACCCACAGCTTCAGCTTGGCTCTCCTGGGTCACACACTCTTGGAACCCTACGACTGACTCCGTTTTCTCATGGCTGGGGCACGACACCCAGCACTCCCGGGGTACAGGAGGAGAGGTTTAATGTGGCCATGCTTCAGCCCGCGGGTGGCTGGCTCCAAGCCAGGGCAGCACGGCAGAGGGGCCTGGCAGTGGACAGCAGCCCACAGCACTGGGCACCGGAAGCGGAGCCGGGGAGGAGCTGGGGAGGGAGAGTCTCTCCAGGCCACGCCCCAGGGACCCATCTCCTCCAATCAGAATCCACCGCCCGACAGCAAGCAGCCGAGGCCCCGCCCACCAGGCGACAGCTTCAGAGCACAGGAGGTTTTGGGAGCCCTTTTAGATCTGAACCACAACAGCCCGCGAGGAGGGGTCGCTGGAGGGGAAGTGCAGTGCCCTGCTCTTGCCAGGGCTGAGCTCCCCTCACCAGCTACGCCCCCAGGCCAGCTCTGCCCCGCGCCATCCCAGAAGCAGGTCCGACAGCCACCTGGCTCTGCCCATGCACAGCAGCCTCCTTGCTGAGGCCTGCCTCGCACACAGATTTGTGAGCTGAAGACACCACAGCCGGCCCTGCTGCCGAGGGCTGGGCTGGTTGATTGCACGCAGCACAGCCATGTCCAGGGGCACCCAGCCTGCATCACGCTGACAGATTCCCTGTGCCACCTTCCTATCGCTTGGCGGCCACTGAGAAGAGAGGCCACTGCCCACCTGGGCAGCGTAGTGTGTTCCTGTGACCACGTCCGGAGGGTGCTGGCGGGGAGCTTGCTGTTGATGGAGTCCCCCCCTTTGCTGGTGGCCCTATGCAGGGGACCTATGCCTGCCCTGGTGGTGGTGGATCCTGTGTAGCCCTTACAGTTGTACAGGGCTCACCTGGCCTCAACTCGGGGCAGGCTGGGCGGCCATCCCTGCTCCTAGGGGGTCCAAGGGGTGCAGGGGAGGGGCCTCAGGGGATCACTCTGCCCCTTCCTCTCTACCCACCCCAGCCTGGCCCCTCCTGTCTCCCACCTGGGCCCTGAGCTGGTTCCCTGCCCACCCCCTCCTGAGAGGCCGGCTCCAGCAAGCCAGCGTTTCCTGGAAGCCTCTCTTCAGTCTCCTCTCTGGCCCATGGGGTCTCAGGATGGAGGAGCAGGCTGGAGCACAGGCCTCCCGGTGTCGGTGGGCCCGAGGGTCAGGCCAGGCCGTGCTGCCCATCCCCAGGTGTCATGTGGCACAGGGGTGTCTGCACCTCCTCAGCCGCGCAGCTTCCTGCTTCCAAGTGGTTCACTCTGGGCTCCAGTCACCCTGGCAGCAAATCTCTGAAAATGTGGATCCTGCTCAGAAGCCTCAGGACTGCCCTGCTGGGGGTCAGGTGCTGCGGTCTCTGGCTGTCACTGTGGCTTGGTCCACCTGCGTCACCTCCCACCCCACCTTCACCCACCAGACCCCATCAGCCCACACCAGTGCCCCTCTCAGTGGCATCGAGAGGGCAGCTCTCTCACCGCCTACCTGGAGGCTGGCATGGGGTGTGGTGATGGGTCCCGTGGCCGGGATGTCTGTCCCTCTCCCAGCATCCTGGGACCCTGGGTCCCCGGAGGTGCCCTCAAAGACAGCCTCAGGTGTCCTCCCTGGGCCCGGCCCACAGTACCCACCCCAGCTGTCCCTGCTGTGGGCAGCGGCCAGCAGGGCACCAGCTGGACTGTGTGGTTTCTTCTGTATCTCTCACTTCCCCCACACCAGCCGCTTAGAGGACACAATGCTCACAAAGTGGGGGTCAGGACGGGGAGCCCCAGGACAGTGCCCAACACCCCAGCTGCTCCGCAGGACAAGCACTGTGTGTAGGGTCACAGAGTGGTGGGCACCGCTTGTGTGTGGAGAAGGGGCGGGAGCCCTTGTCCATCCCAAGGCGGAAGCTGCTGGCCTTGTAAACCTGAGCCCACCCCGGGGCAGTGGCTCCTCCTGCATCAGAGTGACTGAGGCAGGGAGGCAGACGGGCTCCTGGCCACTGTGCTGCCCACCTCCAGGCACTGCCCTCTCTGGCTTTGGCTGCCTCTGCCAGCTGCAGGCTCCGAAGCCTCTGACATCCCATCCAGCTCTGA